TTTTATTGGGAAAAAAATAAAAAATAATAAATTTTAAATTTTAAAATTTTTTTTAAACAGAACGTGGCGGCCCTTTCCAAGCGGGTTTAAATTTGGGGGGGAAAAGTTTCAAAATTTTTTAAAAGCCCTTTTTAAACTTCATCATATCAATAAATTTAATATGCAGTTTTTTCAATCACTTTTCTCCTTTCCCTTTTGTTCCCAAATACAATGGGAATTTTAAAATAAAATTCTGTCAAAAAAATTACACGGGAGAATAAAATTTTTACCCGTGTCCTTTTTAAGGGCAAAGAAAACTCGTCACAATCAAACCCAAGTTTAAAATCTTTCCATTGTCTTTTTCACTGACCCTTCAGTTTACTTTAGAAAGAAAATTTCCCCGCACCATGGGGGAACTTTTATTCGTTTAAAGGGCCTTTTTTATTTTTTGATACATTTGGGTGCACTTTATCTGAGCGTTGCAGCGGGTTTTGACCAAAACAGTACATTTTCCCTAAAATTTGGCTAGGTGAATTGCTAACAGCTTTTTTCTTCTAGCATTACATTTGATGGAGGGAAATTAAAAAAATAATATATTTAACTTATTTTAAACAACTTTTCCCACAACTTTCTTTTCAATGCAAAGATGTAAAAACTACAACAGGTTTAAAAAAAACCCGCATTTTTTTTCTTTCTCATAAATTTAATTTTAAATTTAAAATAACAAAAACATTGTAATAAAATTTCATTGCGTGTGAGTCAATTCACAAAAAACAACAACAACAACAAAAAAACAAACCAAAACATAAAAAACCAACAACAACAAAAACAATACAAAAACAAAACAAACCAACCGTACACAGAAAAATTAACTTCTTTTGGCAGTGAACATATTTAGCTTTTTCAATTTTGGTTACCATTCATTTGTATCGAAACAGCACGTTATGTTTCTTTGCTTCCATTTCCCGTTTGAACCATGGTCAGTTATAACATAAGTTATGTAGAGATTGTAGTCGGATTATAAAAAATGTGAGTGCGAAGACGATACATTTGAAACCAGAAAATGCTGACATACACATTCGGATTAGGTCTTCCATTCAACCCAACGTTGCATGTGTGAATGTTAACCAGCTTCTCCATCTCTTAGAATTTCCGGCACCGAAAATTGAAAAGGTTGTGTTTCTGTTAATATACAAAGGTAATCATTATTTTTTTTCATTTCAAAATTACATAAAATCAAAATTTGTTTAAGAAAATAAAAACGTCCCCACAACTAGCATAATCATGGTAATGGTAAAATATACAATTTAGGAAATATCCGCAGATGAGTTCCGGGTATCTAATAGGAATGTCGCACCTGAACATTCTTCAAGGATCGCAAATATAAATATATATATATAAATAAATATATATATTATATATATATATATATATATAGTATATATATATATATTATATATATATGAATATATATATATATATACAAAAATACCATAAATTCTACAGTTCTACAACAATTTCTGTCAAAACGTCAACAATTAAAGTGGACATTATACCATGCATATATTGAAAACAATACTCCTTTATTTGACTTGCAAAAACAACATAATTATTATATCAGACTTGACTTTACTATTAAACTTAACCATAAATTCATAAAAAGTTTTCCAGTTTATTAAAAAACCTCTAACATCATATTTCTGAAAATGATATGAAATAAGAAATTTTCACAACGGGGGTTTAAACATAATACCCGTATTTTTAGAACAAAAAAACTGATACTTTCATTTAATTTATACTTAAATCCTTCTCAGGTAAAATACCAGTAAATTTTGTTGCCTTTGTCGTGATTTTTGTCGTTATTTTTCAAATGCGGAAACAAAAAATATAACATTTATTAAAATCAATTTCATTTAAGTTGTGAAATTTAAATTTAAAACACATCTGCAAAACCACGACGCCCAACATTCAAGCTGTATTCATGGTGGCCAAAAGTTTCCTTTTGAGATTTGGCCCCCCATTCATTTACTTCAATTATTTCTTTATTATAAAAATATGAAATATAACGGTGTCTTATTTACAGCATAAAAAGGGACAAGGACAAAATGTTAATAAATAATAATTTATTATAAATGCTTTAGTTATGAAAAACTTCTTACACAAAGCGGCCTTTGTTTTAAAGTCCTTTAAGCCATTTTTTTGATATTTCGGTTTACTGACCGCCGAACTCTGTATTTTGGGGAAAAATGAAAAAAAAAAAAAATCTGCCCCCAAAAAAAATTCTGTGTTGTCTTGAAATACGCTGCTTTGACTTGTCAAAGAAATTTGTCGCGGTAAGTATTTAATTAACTGTTAAAACCTACCATATATGCCAGACTATTTTACATACGATTTATACAGTGAGATACGCAACCGGTTATCTTTACTCGAGGAATTTAGCCTGTCGTCTGCTAGTTGGGGAAAAAGTGTTTGAATTGGCAGGTAGTAATGAAAGAAATGTCCGTTAAAAATGGGTTCAAGCGGCAACCATTTCTCACAAGAATTTTATAATCAGGCTTTATCATATTTCATCAAATGCAATTGAAGGTACGAAATGCGTTAAAAATGTAAAAAAAAAAAACCAAAAAAAAAAAAAACACGCCAAATTACGTAGGCCATTACATTCCCAAGGACAGAGCGACGAGAAATCTGCTGCAATTGACAAGATCAGTTTTTCAGATTAAACAAAAAAAAAATAGTCTTTAAAAGCAGATTGAATACAGGTTTTTCAAACAAAACAAATAAAAAAAATGCCCCGCACTTACTTTTAATAAAGATTTTTATGTCAAAAATTGACCTGCTTTTTATCCGATAAAAAATATTTTCACAATGGGCAAAATTGGGAACATGGACTTTGTGTAATCTTTTTTGAACTTTTTTTTTAACATCCGATCCTATAAAGAAATGAGTGCAAGTCATTCTGATTTTCGGCAAACCTTTGATGGATTCAGATACAACAGCAGGTGTGTAAACATCAAAGAATTGACAGATTCTTTTGAAGAGGCTCGTCCCCCCCCCCTCCCACTGCCACTTGTCAAAAAGTCATTGTGTGTAGAATTTTATGTGTGTTTTTAAGCAATTGGCAATAGTTGGCAATTAAGTTTTTTTTGTGTATTTAAAACAATCTTTGCGAATAGACAATCGGCGATGTAGTTAATTTCATTGCTAGTAAGTACTATGTATATGTATGCACCACATTTTATAGTTATTGAAAACTTTTTTTTTTTTTTTTTGCCCCGCCGACCCCTACCTTTTTTTGGAAAAAAATCAGTAAACCAGAATAAAAAAAAAATTGGCCTTAGTATGCATGTTTTCGGTTGAATTTTGTGCGCATTGTAATGCGCTTCCAAGAAATGTTATCACGGATAATTACTCTTCAGAAAAGAAAGTAGTTGAAAAGTACTCAAATAACTGTTTGAATTCAGGCTACAAATAAATAATGAGTAATTTATTCAGAATTAATATTTCTATATGTTCAAAAGAAGATAGTGTCAAAAAAGGGTCGTTTAGACAACATCAGATAAAGATTTCTCCTAGCACTAGTATGACAACATTGATGATGATTCCGCGGGTGTTACCCCACCCACTTGTGGTAGTGACGAAAGTGCTTCGCCCACTTTTAAGTACTGATAGCAAAGTTGGCAAAGAAGTTTAAAATTATTATATTTCAAAAACTGTTGGTGCGTTAAAAAAACAAACTTAATATTAGGAAATGTTCTAATTTCATTTGTTTTATTCTGAATACTTCTCTTTACTGTTCTTCGTATGTAAGTCGAATGAAGAAATAATGTGGCCATTAATATAGCTTGTGGTTTAAAGCATGGGTCAGAATCATTTTACTTCATTAAACATCAAAATAAATAGAAATTTATTTTTCAACACGTTTTGTTGTGTATATTAAAATTCATTTGGTTTAACACTGATATTTATTAAGAAAGCGTGGTTATTTTGACTGCTGGCATATGCGGTTACCATGGAAACTGTCCGTTTACAAAAAACTAACACGTCAACATATATTTGTAATTCTATTTTTGAATTCATCATACAATTTTACTTGATATATAAAAAAGGCAGAAAATTCTATGATAAAAATATTTGAATATCTTTAATTATTTACAGAATTCATGTTTACTGTTCTCATTTTTTTGTTCAGTTAAGAAGCATGAAAACCTCATTTTCTTAAAGAAATTCAGATTATCATTGTTTTCATACAGAACCCTTAGATTAAGCATTTTTTTTTGTATAAAACTATGCTTGTTGTGTGTGTGTATTAAGCTGTCTTATACATTCTTATAAAACAGTTTGGCTGTTTTGACAGTTTTGAGATATACGGTTACCATTGAAACTGCCATTTTACAAAAAAAAAAAAAAATCCAACACTTCAACATATATCTTTCTTTTTATTTCGAAATCGTCATTAAATTTTACTCATCATGCTTGTTATGTGCGTGTATTAAGCTGTATTATACATTTTTGTTACACAGTTTGGCTATTTTGACAGTTTTGAGATATACTGTTACCATGGAAACTGCCATGTTACAAAAAAAATCCAACATATATTTTTCGATATATTTAATTATTTATAGACTTCATGTTTTTTTTTCTCATTATTTTGTTCAGTTAAGGAGCATGAAAAACTCGTTTTTAAAGAAATATGTTAAGATTATCATTTGTGTCACGCAGAATCATTAAAAAAAGGTATATTTGCATAGAAGTATGCTTGTTGTATGTACATGTATTAAGCTATCATATACATGTTTTATTTTTTATAAAACAATTTAGCTATTTTGTCGGTTTTGAGATATACGGTGACCATCAAAACTGTCATTTTACAAAAAAATCCAACACAACTTTTTTTTTTGAATTCGCCATTTAATTGTACTATCAGACAAAAAATGTAGAAGATTCTATGAAAGGATTTAATTGTCATAAAACTATAGAACGTGTCTTTAAAATAACATGAATTAGCATAATATACTTACTTATAACAAACATCTTAGCAGTAACACTTAAAGGTGACGGACAATGCATCGTTCCATGACTGAAAATATTACACTTTTCCATGTGATGGTGGTCCCTTTACCAGGAAAAGTTTTCCACATACGGTTATTGAATTCAATTTTTGAGCGAGGATATGTCTCACTTTCCTATTGTCATTGTCACGGTTAGAGACGGGAGCCAACCGCTGTATAACACAGGCAAGTTCGAACATATATTATCCTCAGCAACAATACAGTCTCCCTTTGCAATTTTCTATGTTTTGTAATCCAACTATTATAGGTGTACTTGGTGGTTCTGAAATTTGCAAAATAAATATTAATTGCAGAGAATTTAATGACGGTTTTTAAGTTTCTATATCAGTAAAATTTTATGACAACAAACCTATGTATACCCTTAAGTAATGAATAATACCTCTAAATATCATCAGGAGGATTAATTAAAGCACTAATGAATATGAAAACCACTTTTAAGAAAATTGTTCGCACATTATTTTAAAAGGAAAAGGGGTTCGTCATGAATTGTGTTTTTTTATTTTTGCTTTTTTTTGAAGTTTGGGCACCCCCAAAATTTTAGAAGTTTTAAATAGATTAAACATTTGGGGGTATCTTTAATGGGTTTTCATACAAAATTTTATTTCTGCATTACTTTTCCAATGATTCAACGAAATTTAAAAGTTTTAGACACAAAAACTAACCTGGTAATTTGACGGTTATAAAATTTGTGTATAATAAGTTTGCACCGCAATAAACACCATATCGTCCATTCAGAGGTACACTGAACATGTATATTGTCAGCACGTATTTGTTATTTTGCTCTTGTGTCTGTTCATAAGTACCATTACCCATTTGTAACGCCTTTGTACTATTGTTGTCGGAGCGTACCCAGTATGGTTTAGTATTTTTCGTTACGTACTCTGACGGAATATATTCAATTTCTACGGTCCCATGTTTTACCACATTCTCAGACTTGAGCTTCACTCGTCCACAATATGTGCCTATAGCTAGTAATACAATAAACTAGATATTAACGGGTGTTAAATGAAAAACTATTCACTATTTTACTGTCATTAAAATGATTATACACGTAAAAGACATATAATGATTATAGCGAAAACTAATTCATTTGACTCTTAAAGGTACTCCACTGAGATAGAAAACAAGAGGACCATGATTTCCCTTATATCGCTCACCTGAAGATAAATACACTTAATGACAAGGAATAAGTAATATTGTAAAACAAAAACGAAAGCAGATATAAAATCTAATTTTAAAACTGGTATGACCAAATTCATATTTGTATCTGAAATTCTGCACGTTTAAACACTACTAGTTGCTATAATTGTTAAAAGAAAAAAAAAATACTAAAACGCCACTGCTTGCCATTTGGAGTATGTGCAGAGTCAATGGTTACTATGAGAGGTCACTGAGTGGTAGAGGTCTATTAGATGTTTCATGCAAACAATCAAGGTTTTAGCCTCCAGGGTGTTAAAGAATAAGAATTTTTACTGTTGTTCCCCCGGGACTGGCCTTTGAATTATTTTTTGAAGTCCATGCTAAATATCTATGATATAGCTCTTGACGTTTTTGAAAAGTAGCCTTTAGAAAAACCAATTTATTAGGAAAACTTGTAAAAACCTGTGGCGAGGCCAATCTTGACCGAATGGCTATAAATCTTTTATAGAGGTCCGCAAGACAATGTTTCTTACCAAATATCTAAAGCCTCTATAGAATAATAGAAGATATTTTAGTTTTTGATTTTACTACATACATATTAGAGAAAAGAGACGCCTTGTGGCGTTTCCAATTTTGTCCCCAGGGCTTTTTTGAACGCACTTTGTAGTCACCAACTAGAAAATGTTTTATGCTAAATATCTCAGCTCTAGCCCTTTGAATTTTTGAAAAGGATTCTTTCAAAATTATTTTTCTTTTGGCTTTCATATTAGAACAGGACAAAACTTGCATCGTCTCATAACAAATGTTTTGATTTCGATTTCCTAAAATAGGCAGTCTAAATCAATATACGTCTGCAATTTCCATAAAAATTTGCTGTGATTAATGCTCTTATGGAATCACTCTTCTCAAGATCTTTGACCACTTTAATAAAAATCCAAATTACACTTTAACCTAGATATAACAGAATATACTTCCAACAATTTTAACACATTAAAATTGATTACATTTTCATCGATACACTGCTCGATACCACATTCAAACCAACCTGAGATGTTCATATTAAAAGTATGAGTTACCTACATTTATATTTTGAGCCAACAGAAATTAGCTGCCTCGGATTTAGTGGCACGTGGGAAATACATCTACACTATACTTGAACAGTTACACATAGCGCGTTGATCAATCAAGAAAGTATAAACATGCTTAATATACATAGGCAATTTAAAAACTATCCCGTTACGACTTGCTTGGTGCCTATAAATAAGACAGCAATACATATGCGGTTTTTTAATATTGTACAAATTTAAAAAGTCCAAAAAAGCACTCGCAAGCATTAAATACAACAAAAATACATGAAAATTGCAGACTCGGTTGGACTGAGTCTGTCAATGATCCCGAAGACCAGAAGAACAAAAACAAACTGAAATGAAGTGCGGTAAAACCATGTAAGTAATATTTTTTATAACTGGTCAATTAAAAGTCCATTACAAATATGTATTTAAAGCACAGCATATCAGAAAATGCTTTAATAAGATAAACCTCAAACTTACCTATTCCAGGTATGATCGCTGTAGATAATATAACCGAAAATGACACGCACAGAGAACTGACAATCGTTGACATTTTAGAACATTTAGAGTCCTTTAGAATCATTTATAGTAATAAAATATAAAATAAGAAGAAAAGGAAGAAAAATTTATCCTCATGTTATTATTCATCCGGAGATTTAAATAAAGTGAGTGAGTAGTTTCACGAGTTCTTTCTAATCGTTTTAAGTGTTACAATGATGTGACATCCGGTTAACAATATAGACTTCACCGGATAATTATTATCACATCCTTTTTAGTCAAAAACCCATTTAAAATTACCACATGTAATTAATAAAATAATTTTTATATCAATACTATAGACATGCATACACACATACTATATTGTCATTTACATATCATGTTAATTGCTGAATAAGAGCATTCGGAACTGCCTCGGCTATTATCAATAATAACCTCGGAAACAATACGGATTGAAAGAAAGTAGTTCTACCACGTGGTCACAGATGTAAACAGAATCAGAGATAATGTAAAACGAATGTGTATATTTGACATCTTATGTCTGTACTCTTTTGCTTGAAAATAAGTCTGACTTTAAATATGCCCACTGATGTTCAATTTTAAACAAATCCGACTAATTGTCAACAGGTTGGCTTTTTGTACTTTCGGTTTTACAACACTTTCGGTTTTACAACCATAATAATAAATATATAAATAATGTATGGTTTGCTTTAGTACCTATGAGTTCACTTATTTTAGGTGGACTTTTACTTCATATATTGGAAATAAACTTGTCAACAACTCCCAGCATTAATTAACTATTTGTTTACATGTTTAGTTTCTTAGCGTAGGTTAGACTGAAATACCGCATCCGTTCTGTGTTTTCATACTATTGTGTTCGAGGTCCTTATCCGAAGACTGACGGAAAGGGCCGAGTAGTTGCGATTTGAATAAGAGCACACTAAAACATACATTATAATACAAAAATGGTTATCGCGAAATAAAGAACGCCAGTTTCAAAGCAATCAAGAAATTTATCGATGTAATAAGTTAAATACAATGCCAAATATTATATAAGAAATGTCTAAGTGTTATTTTCACAAACCTCACATTGTTTTACTTAAATTAATTTAAATCTATTAATGTATTATTTTTTTGGGCACTAAATGGCTTTACTGTACCGTTATCAGTACGGACTAACTAGTTCTTGAAATAGTTGAAATAGGATATGTATACCTTTGAAATCCTTGGGTCTTTGAAGAAGACAATTTAAAATAAATTGATTCTTATATAATGTCGACAGCGGATTAATCCAGGATACTACCAGTTATTCTTTTGCTTCGTTAGGATGTCTTTACTGTAACAAATTATTTTCAATTAAATTAGAACCATGAAGTGAAAAACATGGTTAAATAAAAAGCACCGTTACGTTGGATCTCTTTTGTTTAGGTCACATAAGAAAGATTGAACAAAAAAGAACCGATTGATTTAAGTAGAAAAGTTGGCATCGAATAGACGATCCATGGATTTGAAGTCAGATTGTGCTAGCTACGAATCACTATGCACGCTATGTTGCATATTGAGTGAAAAAAGGAAGAGATATCTACTGAGCGTGCTTGTTCCTCCTCAGTCACCGTGTACAATTTCCATATACTAAAGTAAGTGCATGAAAGCGGACATGTAAAATTGTATACCAGTTTGTTGTCGTGCAATATTTATCAAAATAGAGAAAACCGGAATCCATAAAGAACGCCCGAAAAGGCATAATTGAAAATATTGCAGGCTCAGTTTGATTAAGAATGCTCATGCTTCCTAGCACCTCTTGAGTAGAATTCATTTTTTAAAATTAAAATGTTGAAACTTTGCGTTAAAAAACAGCCACAGATGTGTTCATATGGCGGTTATCATATAATCGTCAATGCGGTATTTTTGTGCCATTCCATGAAAAGCGGCGTTTTGTCCAAAAGTAAAAGAAAGCGTGTACCCTAAACGAGAATAACAAGGGGTTGAACTAAACAAAATTTAATTTTTAAGGTTGATCAGAAACCTGCATATCACTGTGACTAATTATCAATATCAAGATAATTCGACGAATATTGATATAATTATCTGAACTATATTGAATCAGTTGTTTTAAGGATGTTTTGTGAGGTTTATATTCCCAACGATATTTTATATGGTATTTAGTCAAGGCAGACCTCACTTTTCAATCAGGCATAAGCATGCACATGAGGGGAACAATACTGAAATCCCAAGAGTAAGCTTACTTTAAAAACTTGAACATACATTGGAAGTATTGAAATCAATGGAAGTTAACTCTTTGTAAGTAAGCTTTTCCTGAGTTCAATATTTCATTAATCAATTGATCTAGCCATTTGTATTCAGTCTCATTCTTCGAATATATCTATGCATAACTGACTCTTTATAATTCGTTTTTATTTTTCATTTTTTATCAAACTGACAACGTTTTAGTGGAAGTGATGCTAGCTATGGTTGAAAACCCTTAAAATAATCTACTGATAGTGAATTCTTTTCCATTTATATCAATGTATATTATATAAATAATTATATTTTTCACTTGTTTAATAACATTTTCCTTATTCTGGTACTTATGCCAGAAATACATGATAGGGAAAGAACGAGAACAACGAGGAAAACGTTGTGTATCAGGAAGTCTAATAGAACATTAGCACTGCCTTTATTAGCCTCATAATGTATTGACATATAATATAAAACATAATTTCCCCTTTTTGGGTTTTAAAAATAAATTTTATTAAAACGTATTTTTGGGCAAATAATAAAAAATCATTTTTCTTTTTTTTCGGATTTTTTTTAAATTTTTTTTAGTAGAAATGTGTGGTCACGGGAAGGGGAAGAAAAATTGCACCCTTTTTATTAATTGCAAAATTACTTAAGAGAAAAGGGCTACGTTTTCAAATGAAATGATGATTTTATGGTTATGACAAGATAATAAGGGATACAACAATGGTAAAAACAGGGGATGATGGTGATGATGATTATGATGATGATAATAAATGATAATATATTTTATTCTTAAGAAAAAAAAAATGATTTTTTGGGAAAATTTTTGAAAATGAAACCATCGAAAAAAATATGAAAATTGATAATAATCAAATAAAATTTAAAAGGGAATAATTGTGATGACCATAGTGCTTTTGATGATCACGAGAACTAAGTCAGCGATTATGATAATTTGAGAAATGCCGGTGACGATGATGATAATATAATGTAAATAAGAATTTTAACCTGTTTTGAAACCACAGTATCAATCAACTTTTGCTTTAATTTGAAAAAAAGAAAGAAACCAAACATATATAAAAATGTTTTATTACAGGTATTATATTTTATTGGTTACTTACATAGTTTATATATTAAGACGCATGTTAATTTCAGGCGTGTTGTTAAAGACTGTTTTTAGTACAAACGGTAGATGACTACATCGGACATCAGCAGACGACAGAGAATGGGACACCATGCATAAGATGGGATTCTCCCTCCGCAATAAAAAAATACTTACACAAATGACGATTTCCGTGGATGCTACTGTATTCAGATGCAGCCAACTTTTGTCGTAAAGTTGGAAAGGATAAACTCTGGTTGTTGGACGTCAAACAATGCCATTCGGGCACATGTGGAATTGAAAAATGTGGTAAATAAATAATTCGCGATAACTTACATTGTTATTACATAAAAAAATTGCTGAATCTAAGACAATACAATGTAGATTGTATTGAATTGGGTGCTGTATTTTTTTTTTTTTTTTTATAAAAAAAATTTTTTTTTTTTTTTTTTTTTTTTTTTTTTTTTTTTTTTTTTTTTTTTTTTTTTAAAATTTTTTTTTTTTTTTTTTTTTTTTTTTTTTTATTTTTTTTTTTTTTTTTTTTTTTTTTTTTTTTTAAACGGGTTTAGCATTTTGATACGTTTAATTGATATTAATGTAATAAATACTGCATGAATCTATGTTGATAAGATATTTATTTTGCGACCTTTTAAATTTAAAGTATAGAAAAAAATCCCTTATTCCCTAATTTGTTACTCTTAATAATAGCCTAAAACTATTTAATACCTTTTAATTTTGAATTTCATGTAAAAAGCAGCTTATCAATTTATAATATAAATAATAGTGTAATTGCAGTTTAAAACTATCGAATGGAAAGAGAAATAATAAATATACCAATTTTGTTTTGAATGTCATAACTTCTATTACAAATTGTTTCACATCAAGACTATTTATCAAGAGGCGTTAAGCATATACGTGTCTGAATAAAATGATTACAAAACAGTACAAGCACATGTTTGCTTCTAACATAAAGAAAATAATATATTCAATTCTAACCTCAATGAGCTAATTTTCTTGAAAATCAATATGATGGAGCTAAAAAAATAAGACGCGGCCGAAATACTCACGAACAGACCATTGTCCTTTCTTTATTCTAACTAAGCCAGTTTCAACGGAAAATAACGACATAAAATCGACATATAACGTGACATCCATAGTTTGGGTATGTAAGTGATAACATATCCTACGAAATAATTGTGGTTCTCATAACACCTTGTTTTAAATAATTTTTCCACAATCATTAATGTTTTGTCCTGAGTTGAAACGTATTAATGAATTCATTCTCCTCATTATTTTTTGCCCTAAAATTAATGTAGAAGTTTTATAGCTGAAATTTTTTTGTATCGCACTACACTGCACTGTACTGTACTGTACTGTACTTTACTGTACTGTAGTCCAAGATATAAGTTGTATACGCTTGTAATAGTTGATGTTGTGCAAGAGTAACGTCTAAACAATATCCGTCTTAACACTATGATAAAATAATAATAGTAATTACAAAAAATGTCTAATATCTTCTTTTAAAAGCTTTATCAAAGGTTTAGCCTGTATTTGCCCAATTGCATACATAACACCACTCAAATCTCGAACCGTATATTTATAGCATTTGAATCAAATACATGATCAAACTTTTGAATTTGCGCCATGTCTTTGACGTAAGTGGTTTAAAGATCGATTCCAAAATTTGTGCACGGAAGGAATTATCGTTCAAAAATACTTGTTTTAAAAACCCATATAAATTCTTGCAACCAATAAATCAGATAATTCGGATAGGAAGAATAAAGAATAACTTTTTTGTTAGGAGGTTTAATGGGCAAAATTACTGAAAGCGCACCCATATGCCCAGTCTATTGTTTTCAAGTTTTTTGGACGCTTTTAAAAAGAAGGGGGAGGGTTTTGGAAAAATTTTTACTTTAACAAGAACATATAAAATGTGAAAAGAAAATGTTCAAATAAAAAAATGACATTTAAAACAATACAAAAAGATTTTTGAAGAAAAGCAAGAAAATGTTGTAAACCCCTTTCTATTTCTTCAACAAAGGAAATTGTTTTAAAAATTTTAAAACCCATGGGGATTTAAACAAACTTAAAATTGATTTTAAAAAGACAATTATAAACCCAGAATAAAATAGACATGTCATGTTAATCAATTACATCTATCATGTATCTAATATCTATTGATCTTTAATTGCTATTATATTTATGCTTGTGTTATGTTAAAGCGTGTGTGCTTAGTTGTCGAACCTGTACAACTGTCCGCCGGAAAAAGGGTCAGTGTTTTGCTCAAATGACTCTACTTTAGGGATTTCCTACAATACATAAATTGTTAAAGCTTATTATATCAATTGTTTTACAATCATTATGGTTTTGTAGACATAAAATATGTTGAATATTGTTTTATTTTTTAAATAGATTTCTATATATTAAAAGCAGACGTAATTAGAGCTCCACAATAAATATGATTTTAAATCTAAGTGAGAACCAGATATTTCAATAATGAATATCTCACATGTATGCTTCTAGCTATGTATGAAATTCTGAAGAAGAAAAAAATGTATTAATTCAAATATGATAACGGTCAGAAACCCACCCACATCCTGTTCATATAAATCAAAATTGATTGTCAGATTTATTTTCAATCATAATTGTACCGAAACAGACTGATTCTTCATTTGCATGTCAAATATATTCTTTTTAAATTAACGAAGATAACATTCCCTGTTTCTGTTTTCATCTAAAAATACGTGGTAAAACTACGTTCCATCCGTATTACATGTAACTCCAAGGGTATTATAGATAATAGCGGACGACGTTCCGATTGGTTTTTATATTGTGGTTATGTGTTTATGATGATGCACTATGTATAATATCAATAAAAATGAATACTATTTTTGTTAAAGCTATGTTGTGTAAAAGGATATATAAAAGATTCCGCAATAGCTATTCTTCATATATTTATAATTTAAATCGTTTTTGGTTGTTATTTTTCTTTATTCAGCTCCTTACAAATGAAGTTTTATGTGATCGGTTATGCACATGATACTTTCCAAGCGTCAATTTACATGTATATATACCGTTGTTTCTAATTTCTTTACAGATAATAACTTTGTAGAAAAATGTGGAAATTTGAAAATAAAGCAACCAGCTTTACTTGGCAGGAACGTCACTTTTACTTTTACACCGGACTCATATGATCCAAATGCAATTCTGGAATGGCAACGTGCAGCTGAAAGAAACCCATGGTTTACTCAACCCTTAACATACAAGTTCACACAGTATAATGAAAATGGAACATATTACATGGTCCTAACAGACAGTTTAGCTACAAATGATGAAGTTAATTACCGAATACATTATTACAACGAAAGCAGGCGCTGTCGGATGGAAACAGGAAAACTTAAACTTGGTGGTATGTTAATAGTAATGTTATTTCTTATCAATTGCATTATGCAAGCCATTTATATGGCACAAGTTAGTAATTAAGTATTTAGAAAACATAAAAATGTGAAAGCGATTAAAGCCATTTTACAATTTCAAGAACATTTTTGATTTTATGGCTGTAGTTCATATTCATTGTCATTTAGTTTTAAATGAGTTGTGCTATATATATATATATATATATATATACCGGAAAATCAGTAATATGGCAAATCATCAATATAACAGCAATGTAGTTGAAACCCAATATACATTGAGAATCAGTAATATGGCAAATCATCGCTCTTACTGACACGAATATACGGGGATAATCAATAATATGGAAAATCAGCGATCTAACAGTAAATGAAGTTGACGCCAATATACTGAGATATTCAGTAATCTGGCAAATTATCGATTTAACAGTAAATTGTCACAAATATACTGGGATAATCAGCAGCAATCTGGTAAAATCGATCGAACAGAAGTCGAAACCAATATACAGGGGGTAATCAGCAACGTGGAAAATCACCGATCGAACAGCAATTATGTTGAAAACCAATATACGGGGTATCAGTAATATAGTGAATCATCAATCGAACAGCACTTGTTATAAAGTAAAATATATCTCATGCGTGCAATGATGAAAATTTACGCTCGCAAAAATATAAAAGAATTTAAAATGTCTTATTTGAGGCATATACAATTGTAAAAGTGTTTTCATAAAGTATCACGTGCGGCACAAGGAAGTACTTCACATGCCAACATTCTAAAGAAGAGATGAACCTGAATCCACTTAAACAGATGTTATATGATTAATGTTTGTAGAGAAAGCTTTTATCCATTTTTGAAATTTAAGACCAAACAAGTTTCATAACCATCGACATTAAACTGAAATACGTTTTGTAAACCTGTTTCAAATAGCTATTGAATATAAAGGGAAAACTCCTAACACAATGAAAAGAAAACCCGTAAAAATAACTTATAATCGTAGGAATTGACATTTAAAAAAGGACAGAACCTTCAATCAGGAAACTTATTAATACACGATGTAAAAAGATATGTATTAAAGGTAGCAATATTATGACATATGACATAAAATCGTTTATTACTAATTTGGTTTCATTAACAGAAAAAAGACATTTTCCGTTCTGTTCTTTGATATTTCATCCTTAAAAATATGAAATGATTTAAAATGTATAAAGAAGAACATGTATTCATGGCATAATTTTTATTTTGGCAGATGAAATCAAACGGTTACGGTAAAATTTTGTTGACGAATGTTGTTATTTTTGTAATTGTTTTACTGTAATTTTTATTGCATATCTGACAGGATTATCTACTGTTTACTACGGTCCTTGACTTAGAACCTGTCTAACACACCCATGTAATTTTAAATGACGTCATTCCAACGCGCCTTTTATACATGAATTCCGTTGTTAGGATAGCGTCATTGTGCCATTATGAATTAAGTGATAAATTAATTCGCTTCAATAAGAACAAAGTTCTAAATGAAAATATTAGTTAAGTAATTTCTTTTCGTTGTGTCATCAATTTGTAATATGCGAGAAAAAGAATCAAACACCGGCTGTCCTCACAGACAGGAATATCTTTCTCTCGGATAACTGTTTAGCGGAAATACGGCAGAACCTCTTTACCGCCGTAAAAAGTTTCCCTTGAGCTAGATATTCCGGTCTTTACCGGCAGCTCGTATAAGACTCCTATAGTATTTGTTAAATTATTTGCCAGTGGAAATTGTATGAACGGTACTCGATATCTACATATGAGTTTTTTTTTCAAATCAATCAAACCATGTCTGTTGTAGGACCAAAATTCAAGTGACTTAATTGAATAGTTATTATTGTTTGATGATGATTATTGTGTATGTTTTCTGTATTGTTCAGGAAAACACATTTAGGTTTGTCATTTGTTTTTTTCAATGGCATGTCTTTTATGTGTAAAGATAAAATCATTATTATACTCCTTGCATAGGAATGTGATTGTGATTCTATATAATATAGAATTAAGAGGATGAATCAAACTAGCATCACTATTAAGTTATAATTTGTCTTAACAAATATCATGTACTATTTTTCAGATAACCCAAATAATCCCTGTGGGTTTGTTTACCAGAGAAATGAACGTGTACCAGAGGGCGGTAATATATATTTAGAATATTATCCGTCTAAAAATGCAAACCCTGTCAATTATTTTACTCTCGAATGGGCTCACTCAGACACTGGATATGCGCCTTTTACAAAGTTTGAAGGTGATATTTACAAAACAGATAAGACAGAAAATGGGATGAAACTACTTACTATTCCCATGGCTAACATCAGTATGAACGGATATTACAAAGTTAAATGTGGCAGCAATGCGGGGTTTACAAATACTGTCTCAGTGACTGTACTAGGTAAAGAAATAAAAGATATCATTTTTTATTATAATAGTATTAAAATAAATAAAACGATTAGTAATCTGTAAATATGAAAGACATGAAAAACGCTGTTTTGTGGCGTTATTTTTTTACATTAATTTATAAGCACTACACTACACATTTAAAATATATATACACTTTCCATAGTGAAATAGTTAGCAGCTAACTATTAACGTACACAATCCTAATTGCAGTGAAAAGGTTATTAAAGATATACTATGCTCATTTTTGGGTAAAATATTTTTATCTTAGAAATGTATTGAAATTCATGAAATTCTTACTGAATATGTTTAATTTGAATAAAATAATGAATAAACTATGTATAGGGAGCTGCATTCCCTATTACGGGTTAAGTAAAGTTGGTCTTTTCTTAAAAAAACTGCCAGTTTTTTTAATGACACTATATATTTATATTGTGACCACCTGTAGCGTGTAGAGTTCAAAACATAACATATCTACTTTAAATGAAGTTGAAACATGTTTATTTCATACATACAAAGAGACTATGTAGCAATTATAAATAGTTCTAAAAATAAAATTTGAGCATAGTATATCTTTAAATTTTGTTAAATTTGTGTCGTTTCTAATTCGTAATTTCACAAACACGGTGCTAACAAATGTTTTAGTAAAGGGAAGATTGGTAGTCATGTCGAAATTAAGGCAAATTCCAATCTCATTATCATTCTAAGCTGAAAAATCATAAGCGTATGAGAAGCTTACAAAAATGTTCGGAATTTAAAAAAATAATTTACTAATAATGTATGCATGTAAAAATGTAAGAGACTGAGTTTAAAGTATCATATAATATCTACATGTGCATTACTTTTGATATGTTTCCATTTCGTTTAAATATGTTTTAGCAAGCAAATGTGTTTTCACTACAGCGTATTGATATTTCAAAACAAGGATTCTTTTTTTGCATTTCACTGCGTCCAAAACTCATAGCATCAATTTTTATACAAATGCCAAAAAAAAAACAAAAAAAAACTAAAAAACAACATTAAAAAACAGAAACAAAAAAACCCGTTTGAATAGGACATTATAATTGTCATAATCGTGAGAGAAATGACTTGGATATTAACAATCAAAGAGTATCTTATGTTCGCTTGTTTCTAGCACATGTACACTGATATATAGTATTGCATTCAATTCAAAGTTGGTTCAGTGTGAATTACACATATACAAAATGTGTAATTTACATATATGTATATTAAATTCATGCCTACATGTATTGACTAACATTTTTAAATGCTTTTGCATAACATTAGTGATTTGTATATGTTTGTAGTGCGACCAAGTGCGCCAGCATTCACAAATCTACAGGACATTGATGAATGTAAGGAATGCATTGTTGGTTCTGTCAAAGAGAACATTGAAGTTCATTGCAAGACAAGTGGCGGGACGTCACCCGTTGATGTAACATTGACAGTTGGAGACAAGCAAGTCAATAGTTATATGACACGTATCATACTTGATAACCGTCACCACAATACAGTCACTTGTGCTGTAATGAATAGTGCATTAACATCACCATTAATCACTACTGCAAAAGTGTATGTTATACGTAAGTTATATTTTATCATTAACATTTATCCGTTTATATAGACCTTTTATATTCATGGACGCTTTACAGTTCCTTATAAAAATTGATACCAAAATTGATTAGGAATAGAGCTAAATATGTTTCCATAGAATAAAACTAATATAATGTTTAACTAATCGGAAACACGTGTATTTCAAAATGCTTTTAGTCGGGCTATTTTCTGTCGACTCGAAGATGAAATGTAGTAATTGTTAGAATATCAAAAATATTGTAGCACACCAACATTTGGCTTTAGTACCTTCGAGTCGACGGGATGTTTACAACCCCCACCCCCGAAAAAACAGGTAAAAAACAACAACATTCGAATTGAGAGTATTTCGCAGGTGAGCGTTGATGTAGTATCCCACTATGGATAAAGTCGTTACAAAATTGATCAATGTTCAAAGACCAGTTGCGGCGTGTTTGAAAATATTTGTCCAAAAGCAGTTTTCACGCGCTATTACAAAGAACTTTTTGTGTGCACTATAAGACTTTTTAAAGTATTAAGTGCTAGTAATGACGTCAACAAATCAAATGACGTAAACATAATTGCAACTCGCCCGGAAATGCAAATTTTAATTCCTTTTGTCAAATCACTTTCTTGGAATGAAGAATACTGTTATTGTTTTATTTAGTGCTTCCCCTTTCATAATGAAATGTAGCAATTCTTTGCAAATTTATTGACGTTTTTTTCAAAGGGGAAAGATCACCATAATTATATGCATTCTCTTTAAATTCTGATTGGTGTATAACATAATATTATTTAATAATAATAGAGACGTGCAGCTTTCAATACAATAAAATTAATGTGCTAGTTCTAGACGAAATTTTAATATTTAATTTATTTTTAAATCTAGAATATTGGTGGAATCTATATAAACTATACTCTATTTTTTATATTTTCTACAGAGTCTCCTGTTAAAGTTGTGTTATCAACACCAAGATATCTAAAACAAGGGAGTCCTGTTAACATTACATGCCAGAGTCAAAACTCAAGACCTTCACCGATGGTTTACTTAACCATTTCCGGTATAAATGTGTCGTCTGCTGACACAATGCCTACATTCAATAAAGAAACTTTGTTATACAACAACGCTACCACCTTGACAACATTCAAACGAGAATGGAATGGAAAGGACATCATCTGTTGTAGTTATAATAAATGGTACAAAAAACCTAGATATTGTTCCAAACCGGAACAAGTGAACTTTCTATGTAAGTTGTTTTTACGCTAAATTTAGTATTTAAAGGGAAACACATATATATCAACATTTCTAATCATCTATAAGTTCTTAAAACAGAAAATGAATGCCAAAAATAAAAAACCCGCACTTTTATGATGAATAATTGCTAGTCAACTTACTACTATACATGTATCATAAATGAATGGATTTTGCCGCAATTTGCTTTGCTTATCTTTTATTATAATAGTACATGTAAATAGATAAATTTCTAAAAAGTTTTAAATGGCAGTATTAGTGGGAGATCATTTAATTAACATACCTTTTACAACTAAAACAAGATTCAAAGTATATCTCATTTACGTTTAACTACAAATTTAAAGAAATGTGGAATATGTAATAAAATGAGCAACAGGATAAATATAGTAGTGTGCATTAAGTATGTAATAATATCGGATTGCAAATGAAAGCCTGGAGACATTTTTCCAATGAAATATTTGGGACATATACTTACAATAATATACAATACAATTGTTCATAAATTAAAGTAATTGATTTCATGTGTCAAGTCTAACAATCAATAAATATGTGATTTCTTTCAGTTCCTCCATCTGACATCAAACTTGAAATCAAATTTGACTCGGTAGATCCACTTCATATGTATGCTGTATGTACCCTGAACAATTCAAATCCGGTTTGCAGAGCTAATTTTACAGCAGCCAGCAGAATCATCGGTTCAGAAAAGAACTCAAGTAACACGAGTCTTCCGCATGGTGCGTGGAAAACAAAGTATTTCGTTCACTTGAATGTCAATAAAAAAGATGATGGTAAAGATGTTACATGTGCTGCCGTTTGTGCAGACTTCCAATACCTGGAACTTAGAGACACAAAAACAATAAAAGTCCCATGTAAGTTTATACACAATTATTTATACAAAAGTTGCACAACTTAATTGGTGGACACTTATATAGTTTCTATTGAAAAAAAAAACACAATTCAGTTCTTTGATATAGAATGATTGCATTGAAGTTAAATGTTTTTAATTTTTATATTTTTTTCATAAACATTTGTAATTGTATATTATCGCATGACGTTGCTGCTTCTTTCTATGTAATATTTATAACCATTATCTACGTTTTTCTTTATAATTATTTCTTGAACCTTGTTTATTAAGATTTTAAATGACAGCTTATGTTAGACCATGCACATTTTTTTCAAGTAAGCATGATGATAACCTTTTACATTATCAAACAACCTAGATCATTTTTCATCAAAAATAATTAAAGATATTTCTAAAATATAAAATAGTCAAAACCGATTTAAAAAAACGAAGGTTTAAAGGGGAATTTCCAGATATAAAAGCTATTTAATAATAAGAAATTTAAACAATAAAATGATAGATACAATTGTAGTGTTTTGATTTGGATCTTTCAATCTTTTGATCGTGTTGATTAAATAAGCAAGCACTTTCATGAAAGATTCTTAATAATATATTATACATGTTAGCTCTCAGCGTATTTACAAGATAACGTGCAT